TCAAGACCGGGCAAAAAGAAAGTCCAAGAAAGGTGCTAATTCATGCCATCGGTAGATCGGGCCAGGGAAATGGGTCGCAGTGGGCGAATCACCGGGGCCCAGTTGGAGAACTCCTCATATCCATATCCGAATACCCGAATATCCCAGCCCATCGGAACCCAACCCATGCCATTACTCCATGCCAGGCACTTAGTGGACCACCGAAGGTGTTGCCTGGCTGCATGGGCTGCATGTGTGCTCAACATATAGTCGCACATATAGCCATATTATATGTGTTCTTTATGCCATACTATACCAAACCATCATACTGGTTTCCAAAAGGAAGACGACGACGACGGAGACGAGAACAATGCCAAGTTCAGGCCAGGCAAAAATATAAAAAAAAAGACGTGTAAAGCGGAGAGAAGTGTAAGAGATCTTGCAGCTGCCTCTCCTTGTGGGCGCTACGGCTTTAGTGTCTTTATTTTTTGTGCTTATTGGGGTCACTTACTTTGACAGAACTTCTTCTTAAGCACCGGTATTCCATTTTGTAGCTGCGTGTGTTGGCTGGTTGGTTGGTTGGTTGGTGGATCGTTGGGTTATTGGCTGTACTTGGGCACTTGAGGTGTTCTCTCGAACGTCTCGTATATCGTGTCTTCTGTCTGGGACTTGTCCGATTCGAATTGGCTTTTCACTACACTTCACGAAACGATGGGTATCACACGGAACGGATCGCCTAAGCCGCTGATTTCACTGGAAGCCCCTTTTATTGCTTATATGGGAGGTAACGCGCACCTGACAACCGACCAACTCGAGCGCTCAACCTGAACTGACGGACCAGGTAACGTTTACCATTCCTTAAGCACTTGGTGTGTCGCTGCTGCTAATGGGATCTTCGGCAGTATCGCACTCGTAACCTGTTGCCGTCGTGCCAAGTGTTGCTGCTGCAGATGTTGCTGTTGCTGCTACGGCTGCTGCTGCCGTCGATGTTGCTGCTGTTGCTGCTGCTGCAGATTGGGTTGCCCGCTGGCATTGTGGGTGCCGATCTGGATACATGTGAATGCTCCGCAAGAAACAGTCTCTGCAAAAGCAAGCCAGGAACACCAGGCAAAAGCACAGGCACACGAACAGCACAAATCCGACCAGAACTGACAGGATTTTAGTCAGTAGCCAACTCATTCTGAGCCATATTGATTACTACACATTTTACTTTGACAAGTGCTGACAAATCTTTGCCGAGCCGAACCCACAAGATCGCATTCCAATATGACTCAATGCCATTATGAGACTATTGGAAAATCTATATGGGTACATATGTATGTGCCTTATAAGCCTTGAATATCCAATATTTACCCTCCCTATAAGGTTTAAGTTCATATTTCATTTCATTAAATGGCTTATTAATCTTGAATTTCCAATATTTGGCCTTTATATATTATAGTTTCTTGAATTTTAGCATCTTTGTAAACTGTTCAAAGATGCATGGATGCACTGGAGATCTCCGATAAATTCGAAGATCGTTTAATCTCATTTACCAGATTAGAGAGGATTAGGAGAATCCTATTATAGGGTCTCCAAATATTTGTCTTGCGGACTGCGATATCTAATCCTCTGGCTATAAACTTATCATTAAGCCGTTTCATATTCCAAACTGTCAGAACAAAGAAATATTAAGGAGGCTGTCATTGTAGACTATATTATCCAAAATTTAAAAAAAATAAAAACTTTCAATGTTCTACACATCGGTGATTTTGCGTTGGACTGGTACTGGACATCTTGGCTCCATTATATCATCTATGTTTAGCACCACAGACTGTGCTGTTGGGATGGAGGTCCGTTCCGCCAGTTGTCGAGGCTGCTGTGGAGGACCATCCTCCGGGGAAAGCGGTATCAGTCGAAGGGTACTCATTACTATTTTACCGCACCCACAGCAACCCTTACAGCATCCGGTACAACAACAAATAACGCAGCCAATGACACTTGCAATAATGATTAATATGATTACCAGTAGTACAATCAGTCCTGTGGACATTTTCCTTTTTTTTCAGTGGGTGTAGTGAAATTCGTTAAGATACGCTGTGAATTTAGAAGCCCCTTTTTTCCAAAAAAGCCGAAACGGCAGCAATAGCCCATACTGCTATTCGATTTTTAGTTTTCCAAATTGACATATTACTCGTGACGGGTAGTAAAAAGTTTTAAATAAATAAGATCTAACTGCATCTTTCTTGCAAAACTTAGAATCACAGTACTATGTATAAGTATTTATTTATTTTCCGAAAAATAAGAGTCAACATTTTAGTTTGAGTATTTTAGGCTCAGAACAACTTTTTAATCAATCATGGATCTTTAAGAACATTGTAATCTATGGTTTGACTGGTTTTCTTTATTTTTTTATCGATTCATAACCCGCTGAACTTTAATAACACTTTTAATAATAAATAAATAATATAGTAAAGACAACCAAGGAGGCTGTCATTATAGAATTTAATGTAATTCTAAATTGTATATATATTTTTTTGTACTACGCACAATTGATTTTGGGTTGGACTACAGCTGGCACTACGTTCTCTCTTGGCACCATTATATCATCTATGTTTTCCACAGCAGGGGTCGATGTCCGTTCCACAATTTGTCGAGGCTGTTGTTGAGGAGGTTCCTGCGGCAAACGCGGTTCAAGATGAAGAGCCCGCATTATTAACGCACAGCACCCGGTACATATGATGCAAATGCAAAAGGCGCAACAGCAAATAACTACGGTAGCTATCAAGACCGGAAACAAAATGAGTCCTATGCCTCGAAACATCTTTTTCAATTTTTGTACGATGTGAAATTAGGAGCTCCTTATTCCTTTTAATGGATAAGTATTATTAGAAGTGAAGAAATATTTAAAATACATGTAGTAAATTTTACATATATTAATAGTAGTTTTATGTTTTTAGGGCCCATAGGCTTTTGTTTATGAACTGACAACAATACTAAAAAAAATTGTATTTTGAAATTACATTGAAAATTTGGAATTTGTACTTGAAAAATATTACCATTACATATGTGTATATATAGAACCTATGTGACTTTAATAGCCCTCTTTGTCGTAACATCTAAAACAGCAGCAATATCCAATACAAAAGAGAAAACCAATGAGCATCAGCAACCGCCACTTGTCCAAAATGACAACTAAAGTTAGCGCAGGACCAATCTGATGAAAAGGATCGTAGTGGTTGAGAACCATGGTTTTTTGTCATTGTGAAAAACTTAGATATTTATGACAGATAAGTCGGAATTGACTTGCTTGAAAAATATTTACTAAATCAGTAGCTTATTAACCTTCTTAACTTAAAGAATGTAAGAATGATAAAGACCGTTTTCACTTGGTTTTCCAGTAAACTTTTTGTATTTTAATCCGAATCATTTTATGTATTTTCAATGTTTGAGGATTGAAAAATGTTGTAATCTTTAATAACTATGGGAAAAACTCTGATTGATGTGATACCGGCGGAAAAGGGTTTCACCTTCAAACGAATCGGAAAGCATTGCAAACTGACTTATCTACCGTTAATTGGTTATCGATTAATGGCATTACGCAATCGTGTATTCTGTAAATGCTCCACTCTTCTTGCACTTTTTTCTCCGCGGCAATTAAAAGGCGCTTTTCATTTTCTTTTGGGAAAGTTATCAAGCTATATTAGTTTCAATTCGCTTTGGTTATTATCGAAAAATGAAGAAAACGCCGAAAGGCCACAAAAACTTTCATAGTGGTTGTAACTTTTTCCCCTCGACCATCTCAGGCGACTTTTGAAGTCAATTGTCGTCGCGTCGGGTAGAAAAAGTGCTCGACTGGTGTGTAAATAAAATAAAATTAATAGTAACAATTGAAACAAACGCAGTGCCACAATGGAGCGAAAGAAACATTGTCCGAAATGAAACATGAGAGTGCCCTCCCCTTCCAATCCCCCATTTCTTTCCCCATGACACGACACGCATGCGCAGTGTCAACGCAACTTTTCAGCGAAAGTGACTGAACGAGTTCCAATTGTGCACGGCCGATGCTCCAAACGCCTTTATCGGCGGCCACAATTAACCGGCCTGGCGTAATAGTTGCCAAAATAAATGAAAACGAAAAGCCTGCAGACTGCTACTAGAAACTGCCTTTGTTTTCTAACAGGTAACAAACTTTATGTGTCTAGACTAAACATTCCTTTGGTAAAAATTCATAGTCTAAAATTAAAACACAAACAATTTTATATTTTATTTACACAAGGTTCAATACAAAAACAAAGAAACTTTTTAGTAAATCTTTATTTATTGCAACATTACAAATTTGAGATAAATAAACAAGGATGTTAGCTCATCAATAAATCAAAATACAATTTTTAACTTCAATAAAACCAATTTTAAATATGAGTTTAATAACAATTGGATAGGTCATATCAATAAAACAACGTACATGAATCATTAGACATCGATGTTACATTTTAATAATTATATTGTAATCTAAAATGTCAATATTGCGTGGATAATATTTAATAAACATAAGCTTTATTCTCAACCTACATATGTATGTATGGTATAAATATTACCAATCGACATAATTAATGTCACTTGTAATCATTAAAATATGTATAAAAAATATTACCATTATCATTTATTTCGAAAAACAACATAAATTATGTCCCTTAAAAATCCTATATAGCCAAAATTTTGAAGAAATTCGTCGTTCACTAATAAAAATTCTACCCGAATTAATGTGTTACCCAACTTTCCACACATCTAATCCGTAAAAGTTTCACATTGACATGGAAAAAGACATGGTGGATCTATCAATTTATTTAGCAGTTGAAAATATTTTCAGGGTAGTACCTTTAGGTAACATTCCAGAATCCTAGCAACCGCTGCTTGCCATGGCAGCCAAAAATGTTTACTTAACCCCTAGACCCACTCTTCACCTGTCATTAACTAAAAACAAACGTTGAAACAAACGGGCTCTGAAAATTCTAAAGAAAATAAAACTGTACCTAGCAAAAATGCTGAACTTTGTATATCCGGAGGAGATGTATCTCTTTGTGGAGAGCATTCGTCCGTTTGAGGTGCGCGAGGTGGGCAGCTCCAAGTGGCTGGAGGTGCACGAGATGATCATAAAGCTGAGCCAGCAGGCCTCTTTGGAACTGAGCCAGAATCGCGAGGAAGAGGTCAAGGAGTTTCTCATATCGCGCGACAAGCTGCGCCTGCTGATCCACGAAGCCTATTGCGTAACCATGTGGAAGACCCGGGTTCTTCCGCATATCCTGGAGATAGATCCCAATCCACAGGCCACGTTCCTCATCTACACGGTGCTGTATCACGAGGCTGCCCTGGTGGCTCTCCTGGATGTTTGCCTCTACCATCCCAGTGGCTGTGAGACGCTGCAGGAATCGGTGCTGGATTTGATCGACTATTGTGCCCAAGCGGTTTCCCAGGTCATTGGCTTGGTCAGCATGGGCTACCATGAGAATGAGTCCAAACTGGATGTGGATGAGGCAGTGCTCACGGAGCTGGAACGCCAGAAACGTGACTTTATCTATAAGATTGGCTTGCGCTGCATCTCCGTATTGAACTATCTGGCGGATAATGTGGGATTGTTCCATCTGAGCGCAGCACGCCGTATGCTGGTGACCCACGATATTCCTTGGCTCATGGTGGATGTTCTCTGTTTCCGGTGAGCACTAAGGATCTTTGGGATCTTTCCTTAACTCAATATGTGTGTTCATTATCATCTTAGTCCCTGGCAACGCAAGACTAGCAAGGGGATGCAAAAGTTCATCGACGAGAAGTGGACCAATGTGGATGACGTTGCCAAGATTGTCAAGCCGGAGGCTCAGGCCTGGTTCTGTGTGCGTCAGCTCCTTCTAAACGCCCAGATCATGGAGAACTATGCGTTCAATGAGGCACGCTGCAAGCAGTTAAGCAAGGTTAGTTGTGACCCAACTTTTTTGAGAACCCCTACTTACCATGATCGCTTAGCTTTTGGGCCTGATGCACGAGACTTTGCTGGACCAACTGCCACCTCTCATAGAACTCAAGATGTTCCTCAGCCGCCTGACGCTTAGTGGTAGTACGGCCAAGTCGCAGTCCCTCTTGCTGGAGGACATTCCGCAGATCCAAGAGGAGCTGATGAAGGACGTGGAGCAAAACGGCGGCTTTTACCAGATAGCTCAAGAACAGGACTCGGTGTTCCTTAACAAAAACAAGGAAGACATCTGCGCTTTGGCCAGCCGCCTGAGCAAAGCCTACGGCACGGAGTTACTCTGCGAGCTGGAGCAGAACATGGAGGACCTTAAAGTGGATGAGCCAAAGGATTCCGGAGCTGGCGGCGATGGCGGGGTGGAGCACAGCTGTGCCACCTGTGAGGGCAAGGCAAAAAAGAAGTGTGCAAGCTGCAAGCAAGTGCACTACTGCTCCCGGTGGGTTGAATCACAGCTCTTAATAGTTAAATCTTTCCATAACCAATACATTTTTCGCTCTTTAGTGATTGCCAGCTCAAGGATTGGCCACAGCACAAGCTGGTCTGCCTTAAAGACTAATTTAAGCCCAGCTTTAATTACAAAAAATTCGCTTGATTAGAATAGAACATTCCAAAAATGTAAAAAGGTCAACTTTCTTTTATTTTCATCTGGATTCAGGTGCATTACGTTTTATTTTCAATTAGCGAATAGCTTAAAAAAAACTTTCACGTAGTCTCTCATTCAGCAGACAGGGGACAGCAGTTTAGCTGTTCTGCCTGAGATGGTCCTTAACCACGTCCAAAGCGGGTGTCTCCTCACCGAAATCCTTGATCACGACCACGGAGCAGCCGCACACCTTGCGGGGCTTGCCCTCCTTGTCGATCTTGCACAGACCGGACCATTCGCCCAGCTTCTTGTGCGAGTCCACGCGGATCAGGGGGATCTGGTGCTCGTTGCACAGAGCGGTGACCAGCTTCTTGTAGTTGGGCTCGTCGAAGGACTCGGCCAGGATGCACAGGACAGCCTGACGCCTGGGGAAGTTAATAAAATGGTAATGGTTAGGGGATTGCTCTTTTGCTGGTGAAATATTTAATGCAGTTCGTTTTGTTGATACTTGCTCAGTAATTGGAAGGTTTTTAATCAATATAAATTCATAAACACGGACCAATTAATTTCATCATAGGCACATCAACAATTGCAAACTGCATAAGATGGTAACACTTCTCGGGTCTGAATGATTTGAAATAAACGAAAATTACTCTTGCTTTTAGGGCAATATAAACGTTAATTTACTTGAAAATAAGAAGCAAAGTAGGTACAACTCACTGAAAACGTGGTTTCTTAGGTTCTCAGCGTCTTTAAAGACAATTTTAAAGACTCGAAATGTTTTACTTCTGGTTGGAACAGATTTATGAGGCAGTTTTGTTTGGTAATTTAAGATGAATTAGGGATATAAACAGGTTATATAGGATTTTATGAAAATAGGTTAAGTAGAATAAAGACCGGGATTTTGAAAAACGTGGTTTTCAGAAAATCCCGCCTCAAGGATTCAGGTATTCCCATCTTTCATTATACTTTATAGAAGATATAAGAGGTAGTATTAGTCCGAAGTGGATTAATTTGATCCATTAAACTAGCAACTGCTAGACCTTTGCAAACCAATTCAAACCCCTAGGAAGTGAATCACCATCTTGAACTCGGGTCTGCCGGACTACTCACTTGTCCAGGGCCTTGCAGGCCTGGTGGATGCCGTGGACGAGTCCATCGGCGATCAGGGACTTCTTCAGGACCTCCTGCAGGGCGGTGTTAATGTCCATGGCGCCATCGAGGACGGGGGCAGCGGAGGGAACATCACTGCGGCGGGAGAACAAAGTACATTAGCAATCGATCACCGATCACAACAATAACACCCCAAAAAACTCGGCTTAGCCTTGCTTGTTCAGTAATTGGAGAATTTCTAATCAATGGAAATTCATAAACACGGACCAATTAATTTCATCAACAAGCGGTTCGCCAAGCAAGGCAAAAATATAGTTTTTCGTAAATGAAACATCCACTCACACATCAACGTCGGCCATTGTTTAGCGGTTCGGGATGCACTGCACTAAAAATAAAGGAAAATTGTTAGTATTAGCGGGGTGCCTCGCGAGTCCACGCGGAATTAAAATTTTCACATCTGTACCTTTTGACAACCGGAAAGAAAGAGAAAGGAAGAGCTGGGCGATGGCGATGTGAGTTTTCGGCCAGTAGTTGTTCTTATCGATAGTAGCACAGAGTAGCTTTAAGGAACGATCGATAAGTGTCAACGCCCGTTCACACTAGAGTCTCGTTTAAGACGCGACGTCCAAATTGGTTTCAATTTTAAATTTTAAGTTTAAGAAAACCTTTCAGTCAATTAAATGTAAAGTTTTTATGGTAGCCTGGTAAACTAAAAATAAAAACGTTGTTGGCAATTATAAATCTCTTTGGTTACAATTTTAAAGACGAATCTACTATTTGAACAAAGTCATCTTAGTTGTTGCCTATACACAATTTATAAAAACTAAATAGGATTTACATATTTTTCCATATTAGTCTATGGTTATCCTTGATGATTTCGTTCACATTTACCAATGCAACTAAATTGCTATTTTTAAAACCTGTGTTTCTTACCTTAATTCAAATATTGTTGTTCAATGACTTGATCCGACGAAGTTGAAATCTTTCAGAAAACTTTTTCATCCCATGGAACTCATGGTACCATGGTACATTGTCAAATTCCAATAGAATTGGTCGAAACTTTGTACAGTGCATGAGTGGGTGCACGCGTTAGGGAAAGATACTTGACCCCTGGCACCTGGTAACACTGAGATAAACAATCCCAAAAATTCCCAAACGGCCGCAACTCGCGCTTCCGTCTTTAACCGCTATTGTACTAATTCGTCAGTAAATATAGCGACTATATCTGATTATCCCCCGGAGAGCGATTCAATCGAGCTGAAGGCCCACGCTGGAGATCTGAAGTGCAACAACTTGTTTATGTTTACATAAGAAGGCAGCCCAGGCAGCAGCAACAACAACGAGGAGAATGACGAGCACGCTACAGTGAGTTGTATCTGTAGTGGGGTTTTATTATTAACGAAAAAGAAAGGAGAAAAAACCCACCATGTGCTCCCGATTCTCGTGTCGCACATACACACGACTATATAATTGCCGAAAATTTACAGCGGCATGTGAAAATCGTGTGCTCCGCCTGTCTGTGTGCGCGAGTTTGCTTTCGTTATCTGGAATTCAGAATCTAGATTCTAGGGTCTCCAAATGTTGACCCGTAAGATACAAAGAAAATGCGGGCTTAGGGGGTGTGTAGTCTGCCCGGCGATATATGAATGAATTAACATATATATCCGCCCAAGTTCTTCGGCGCCTTTAGCTCTCGAATTAAAAATATGTGACTGATAAGGAGGGCAATGCTTGCCAACAACTACAAGTATAATCGTAAACAAGACCACACTATCGTCCCAAAAATTGATTATGCCTAGGAGTAACTATGATATAATGATAGGGATTGTTTTATAATCGGAGGTTGGAAGTGTAAATATCTTATTATAAAATGATATGATCACCTGTTGTTTTACAGAAATACGGAATTATTTACTAAGACATTCCTCTACTTTTGCTTTTTCAAAAATCTCACACATCCCAGTTGAACAAATATTTTGGTCTCGAGAGCGTTTTAAGTTGGCTACTGAAATTATATAAGAAAGAATCTTCTAACTCATAATTTTGCCTAAGATCAATTTGTTTAGATTTATAATGGACGAGCCATTAAGATACTTAGTATAAAGCCCCCTTAAAAATTTATTTTGTGTACAGACGTATGCCTAATATTTCAACTGACAGTCTTCTTTGACTGGGGGTAGGGCTATCTCTGAGGTTCATCGCCAGCTGATTGCGCTGAAAGCTCTTGCTGTACTCGATGTTGAATGGAATCGTTAATTGGGCGCATTAGCATTAGGGCCTCAGACGAGCAACATGTGCGATCGTATCAGCAGCAACGTTAGGTTCGGGGCTTCTACATATAAACCGACTGAAATAAGGAAGATAATACTTATAATTCCTATGATTTTCTTTCCCGCAGAGAAGGAATCCTGGTGGGCTGCGGCAACCCGCTGCTGGACATCTCCGCCGTCGTCCCTATGGACTTCCTGCAAAGGTACTCGATGAACGAGGACGATGCGATCCTGGCCGAGGACCGACACATGCCCATTTACGGGGAGCTCGTCGAAGGCTACAATGCGGAGTTCCTGGCTGGTGGATCCGTGCAGAACTCGCTGAGGATCGCCCAGTGGATCCTGAGACAGCCCAGGGTGGCTGTATTCTTCGGCTGCGTCGGCGAGGATAGATACGCCCAAATCCTGAAGGAGAAGGCTCAATCCGCTGGCCTGGATGTCCACTACCAGGTGAAAAGGGACGTGCCCACGGGTACCTGCGCCGTTCTGATCACCGGCACTCACCGATCGCTCTGCGCCAATCTGGCGGCGGCGAACAACTTCACCATCGATCACCTGGAAGAGCCCAGCAACAAGGCTCTGGTGGAGAATGCCCAGTACTACTACATATCGGTGAGTGCAGTGTTTCTTTTTTGAGATAAACCGCAGAATCGATGCGGGAAGCCATAACTAAATGACCAACGGGAAGTAAGTTATAAAGCGATCGCATACCATAGTGATTAGATGTGTTTCTCGATTGCAAACTAACTTATTTTATCAACAATGTTGTGGGAATCTTTTAAAAAATTATATTTCTTACTTTAAATAGTATCTAAATTTAATTTTGAAGTACTTCACTAGTGAAGTTCAAACTGCGATGTATTTTACATATTTAAAACTAACAAATAATATTTTTGTATTTTATGTAAATCACTTAACAATTGTCTCCTGTGGTTCTAACATTTGTATGTAGTACTTTAAATTATGTCGGTAAAAGTTTCATATTTAAATGAACATAAACTTATAGCAAGGTGAATTTGTTAATTTTATAAATGTTCCAAAATAACCATTTTAAAAGTAAGTTCTTTTTTGTTTCGTTATCTACTTCTAACCCCTATAAATCTAGATAAATATAATCAGAAATTTGAAATAATAACCTTCAACCTGTTCCATTTCCACAGGGCTTCTTCCTCACCGTGAACCCGCCGAGCATCATGCAGGTGGCGGCCACCGCCCATGCCAAGCAGCGACCGTTCCTAATGAACCTCAGCGCACCATTCATATCGCAATTCTACATGGCACCGCTGCTGGCCGTCCTGCCCTACGTGGACATCATCTTCGGCAACGAGGCGGAGGCACAGGCCTTCGCCGAGGCCCAGAGTTGGCCAAGCGGGGATCTGCGCGAGATTGGCAAGCGGCTGGTGGCGTTCGACAAACTGAATTCGGCGCGGCCGCGCATTGCCATTCTCACGCAGGGCTGTGATCCCGTCCTGCTCTTCCAGCAGGACTCGGTGCAGGAGTTCCCGGTCACGAAATTGGCGGTGCATGAGATTGTCGATACCAATGGCGCTGGGGACGCATTCGTTGGAGGTTTCCTGTCGCAGTTTGTGCAGGGCAAGTCGCTGGACGTCTGCATCCGGTGTGGCAACTATGCGGCCGGGCACATCATCAAGAATCCTGGATGCACATACTCCGGCGAGCCGGAGTTTGTCGAGTAATGCTGGATACTGGAGCTACAGAAACCTTATACACACACACGAAGACAGATGAGAAGGCGAGCAAAGCGCAGCAAGATTTGCAATTGTTAATTAAGTAATTGAGAGTGACTAAGACATTTTGTTAACACTGATAATTGTTTGTACATATAACCCACACACTCAGACACATACAAAAACATACACATGTGGAATGACATGAACAAATAGCGAGAGTGAGGCTTGTGTCTTATAGATAGAGCAATATTCGAATTTAAATTGATAATAAAACGAAAGTGACACACGCGAGCGAAACACAAAAGTCAACAATTTGCACAACTTGAAAACTTTGTTTTGGTCTTTCAGATAAGTGGTGTGAATAACACAGCAGAGTTGTATTGTCTAATCCTTTGTATATCGGGTTTCTTATCAGATATGTATATATTTAATTATGTAGCGAACGGATAGTTGCAATAGGTTGAGCATTTTTTGAGTCCTCATTCTGTACTACAAATCTCATAAATTTCCGTAGATTTAGACAATCTAAGCAAATTTATGGCAACATGGAATAAAAAAAATGCCTAAATTAGAAGTACAGATGTGTAACAAGTCCTATCAATGTCTAAAATATTTGACAACTAAGGCTCATCAGCAGATAAGATTATTATCAACAACCTGACAAATTCTCATAAAGATAGAAATGTTTAATATCAGTAGAAGCGAGATGAAACCACACAGCTGTTACATTATAGGCCCCATAAATTCACAATCAATTGACCCAACGGCAGATTAGATTATCAGCAACATGCTTTGACTAGTTTATCAATACAAACCAACAAGCTACATATTAGAAAAACTTATTTTTAAAAAATACAATGTGCTTTTGAAATATTTTTTTGGCTATACAAAAGACAACTACTGTGTACGTTGTTTACCTAAATCTAAAATAGAACTTGTTGTTTTCCATGGCGACTTGTGACATTGAACCTGAGGTCCGTGACACTAATCGATCAGATAGCCCCGGATGAAGGGCAGGCCAGTTGGCACCCGCTTCTGATAGCGCACATAGTCCGACTGGAAGAAGTTGAGCAGGGAGTACTCTTCGACGTAGACGCGATCGTGGAAGAAGAGCCAACTGACCAGCGTGTAGATGCATATGCAGATGGGATTGAGCAGCACGATCTGGGTCCCGATGGACCACCAGAACCAGCCGACGTATGAGGGGTGCCGGCAGTAGGCGTAGATTCCACTCGTAATTAACTTATGATCCGAGTGCTTTTCATCCTGGACCTGTACAGGAGATTAGAAAATTTGGGATAATTTAAAGCTCATTTTGGGATAGTTATGGTGGGGCTATTCGAAAGTAAAAAAGCAGTAAAGATTCAAACACTTGTTGCATGGTTTTATATGTCCCCATAAAAAGAAGATGGTAATTTCTACCCGACAATCAAAGTATTAAATCCTAACCGAATGTATGAATGGAATTTCTATTTTAACTGAAAGTGACCCGTATACATATTAAAAAGAAAATTCATTTAGCTACAA